AATGGAGTCCTTTAAGGGAAATGACCAAGAACCTAGTATCACACTAAGTCTTGGCCTGTCACACAGGGGCTACCACTTGCTCTTGCATAAGCTCTGAAAGGACTGTCTCAACAGACCTCTAGTGGCCACACCCTGTTAAAGTTGAGTGGAGTGGTGCTGGGTGAACGGGGCTTAAACCAGCTCAAGAAAGGGCACGAAGCAACCGCGTGAAGCCCTCACCATACAGTATTTTAGAAAAGAACGCAAAGAGCTATCGTGCGAACTTACCACAATGTGGATTTTAGAAAGTGCACAAAGCCTTCACATGCACACTTACCATAACATGGATTTTAGGATACCGTTCTAAGGGGCTCTCGTGGCACTCTGAAAGAGCAGCTCATAGATGGAATGGTGCACACCAAACCCAATATGTTTGAGAGTCACCAGCTCGATCTAAGATATAAAGCTGGAATGGCTAGCAGTAAATTTGCTGCAGGATCAGGATTTGGAAGGACATGGAAGTTCACCTGATGCTACTGATTCCAGGTGTTCTGTGAAAACAGAGAACTCAACTCTCATGTGAGAGGAGAACTCCGAACTCAGAAAGAATAGCGCGCTCATAGGCAACCCTTTGTAAAGGGGAGCACTGCTAATATTACCACGAAAACAGCACACGGAGCGAACCCGGGCGCTCGATAGGAAGCAGCATGCTCATAGTAACCCTCAATGGTGAGGGAAGCGATACTTCCAAGTGTGTCAAAAATAGAGACACACTGGTTGAGTGGAGCCCAAGGTACCGGCGTCTAACCAACTCAGAGAAAGGGAATGAAGCTACACGCGTAACCCTTACCGTACAGGATTTCAGAAAGTGCGCAAAGTCTAGCGTGCACACTTTCCACTACTGTGGATTTTAGAAAGTGCGCAAAGTGTTCAACGTGCACACTTACCACTATGTGGGTTTCAGAAAGTGCACAGAGCTTAGCGTGTGCACTTACTATATCATGGATTTAAATTTCCAGGCATCTGATCAGAGATACCCGGAGGTACTGGGCCAAACGGGAGAGGCAAGCTCAAATACGACCCTCTAAGGTGAGGGGAGCACTTCCTGAGACAGCATCACACAAGAAGGTTCTCGCAAATGCCACCTACTCTTCCCGCTCGAAGCCTCAGCAAGAGGGGATATCCTGGAACCCGGACATCCAGGAATCTTTTTGCAGTGTCGTACCGGGGGCCTGATGATCAAGAAGGCTCCCGCAGAAGCCTCTGACCTGGCCGCATGGTCCAGGCAGTATGAAGCCGGCACCAGGGCTATCATACCGGCTGGACACAATATCGACGAGTGAGGTAACACTGCCAGTCGAGCACCTGGTTTCTGAATCCAGCAAAGGGGTGCTCACAGA